GGAACAGCTGAAAAACATGGAGAGAATTCTCTAAGGGTCACTATATACATCACTATAAGCGCCTTCCAAAGAACTACAACACTGAGAATGCCTAGAGGCAGCTTTCTTTTTCAAATATTACCAACAAAAAGTAGGCCAGACCTAGGCCATGCAGCCTCTGAGACAAGTCCCTGATCCAGGTAAGTGAAATATAGGTGTCCAAAAGTGTCTGCAGGTGTGGGTCTGTTAACTGGAACTTCCAGAATTCGACCTAGGAAATTCCTAGAGAATTCTAATCTGAATACTACATCCCTATTCTCAGGCTTGTTTTCATGCTTTAGCTTGATGAACTACATTAGCATCTCTAATTTCTGACTGAACAATCAGGTGTTCAGCCAGCTTTTCTATTTTAGATCACAGTTCAGAAGACCCATGTGTAACGCTGAAAATAACATAGTACAGTTAAATTTCTTGATTAGTATCAGAGATATAATATCAAAAAGAAAAATCTGTGTAGTTTGGATGCTACTCTCTTTCCAAGGTGAACTAAACATTTGTACTTATTTGGTCAGGTACAAGATGGTGATGCAACTTTTCATGGAAAAGAAAATATAAATAGTAGTTTCATAAGAACTGCTGGATAACTCGGTGGTTTAGGCATCTGGCTATGGGGCCAAAGACTGGGAATTGGTTTCTCCACATGTAGGCATCTGGCTACAGGGCCAAAGACTGGGAATTGGTTTCTCCACTGGGCCTCCCTGACAGGGGCTGGGCTCAATGATCCATAGGGTCCCTTCCAGCTCTGCAGTTCTCAGATGATGATGATGATATTAAAAATTAGTTCCTGCATTTATCCCAAATCACAACGTAAAAGTCTATGAATAACCCCTTATAACATTAGCTGAAATGTTTAGAGTAATGTTTAGCTTTTTTTAAAAAAAAACCTTAAACGTTCATAAAATAATTGTAACACAAATTACAACAGGGATGTTTTCTGTGTTTAACCAGTAAAGGCAAATGAAAGCTGTTTATTACAGTCACAAGAACAGATTTCTGAATATCTTAGCTCTTCAATTTAACCTATAATGATTTTGGAAGAGATTGATATAGAAAGAGGTTGATATAGGGATTGATAGAGAAAGGGAGGAATAGCGCTCCTGTCATAACTGTGGCAATCTTGCTGTTGGTAAATTCAGTGGTTTGTGGCAAATGTGGTAATAACCCAGAGAAAGCTAAGAGTTACGCCAAGCTATTATCATTTTTTCTTTCACAGGAAACCTGAAACTTGTGGGGAGAAGGATTGTCATGAAGCTTCCTTCCATCAGGTGTCACTAACAAGGATTCAGCCACAACTCCATACCATCTGTATAAATAAATAAATAAATAGTTATCTGGCTTTAACCTTTTATATGTTTGCTATAAGGAAATACCCATGCGTGGCATGACCATGACATGCCTGAAAATGCTGTTGGGTCAGAAGGCTGTAAGCATTGATACAAGCACGTTTTAACCTTCTTTTCCCCCCAAAGGTAAGCAAGATGGAAAAGAGCTCCCCAGTTACCTTACAAAGTAAATCAAGACAACTATAACTCTACCAACCATCCAAAATTCATTTGAACATGCTACAAAGTAGCAGAAGAAATATGTTCCCCGTTTATATGGAGGATGAACTGATTGGGTGTGTAGTGATTTTGAATGTGATTTTCAGTTGACCTTGAGACATGCTGTGCTCTCTACAGACTTTACAAAGTGGCTAAAATTTTTCAGTGCACAGACAGAACCCTTCCACTTCAGGTAACAAATCAGTTTACATGTGTTGAGACAAATTTGGATTCAAAATGTTGTGCTCCCGTTAAGTAGCCTTCAGCAGCTCTCAATTTTTAATTCTAAAACGCACTTCAGCTTTGTAAACTGACAGAATGGGAGACAGCTGTCAAGCTGCTTCTTAATGTCTCAGTTTTGGTCCAATACTGAATAATTGATGGTAAAGGACAGGGTTAGCCCATGGCATTTTGCTGCCTGAGGCCAAAGGGAAGATGTGGCCTGCCCAGTCCATATACGGAACCCAAACCAAGTGGCAGCTGAGCCTTACTTCAACACGAGCAGTGGAACAGGAATCTTCCCTGCACCCGAGGGCAGCAGGATAGCTTAGGTGGTGGAAGTCCAGCTATTTGGTACTTCAAAATAATGGATAGTGGTGTGTGTGTGTGTGTGTTTGTCAGGAGGGGCAGCTGATGGAATGCCGCTGCTGCCCATCAACACCTGCTACCTGAGGCAGTTGTCTCACTCTGGCTAATGGTAAACCTGACCCACCTAGAAGATTCTGGAAAACCATAAAGCCACAATGAGTTCCTCAAATTAACCAAGTATTCATATTTCCACAACTCTTCATCAAACGGGGGTACAGTTATGGGTCAGTAATGTGTCTAGAGATAATGGCATGTAGAAGAAGAGCTGGCAAAGCTACTAAGGAATCACGTGTCTAGAGATAATGGCATGTAGAAGAGCTGGCAAAGCTACTAAGGAATCAGGACAGGCAAACTGAAGGCTGTTTAGGACCAACCATCCTATAAGCAGGTGAAAAACAGACAGAGGTTGCATGGCAGCAGTCTTAAGTTACAAGTGGTCACCATATGTATCATCTCTATTTAAATCTGAACAATGATGCCTAAATTTACATCTATGGGACAAAATTCCAATTTTTTTGTTGCAAACTTTGATCTTTTTTTCCCCATCCTCCCCCCTTTCTGGTGACTCGTTTCCTTCATTGGATGGGGGGGGGGAATATCAGCAACAGCCACCCCACTCCATGGCAAAACAACCCTCGCCCGGGAAAGCACAGGGCAGCCAACGCGGAACAGGTTCCCTCGGCGGGTTTCCACCGGGTCCAGCAAGCAGCAGCACTGCCTCGGAAGAAACCGTCCCCCTTTCCGGGTGGACGCGCAGTTGGGGCGGCCGGAAAGCCTCGCTCGACGAGTCGATTCGGACCTGCTCCTACCCACCCGCGCTCCTCCTTCTCTTGTTCCCGAAGTACAATAACAATGAAAGCCTCCCACGAGCGACACGAGCGGAGCGCCTTCGGTTTCATAATTAAGACAGTCCCCTTAGGCGGCGTTTTGGTCTGCTCCTTCTGCGCACCGAGGGACCCAGAGGACTGCGCGGGGCGACGGCTCCCGGCGGCTGCTTCAAGGGCGGACATTTGCTTGGCGTGGTATTTAATGGGCTGTTTATTGCCTCGCCGTGGAATAACACACTCCGTCCCGCCCTCCCTCCAGGTCCTCCATCTTTCTCTCTCCCGGAGCGGGGAGATATTTACCGCCACCACAGCGCCGCTTTCCTCTCTGCATCGGAGAAGGGGGAAAAAGGCGGGAGAGGCTGCTTTCCAGAAAGCAGCGAAAGAAGCGCCGCTGGGCTTAGATTACAAATCTTTCGGTTGAACAGCGGCGGTGTTTGATGACTTAAAAACGTGCACACTTGTGGTGCTGCTCGCTGTATAATAATTTGTCTCAGGGCGGGGTGCGAGGACTCAGTAACCAGGACATCGGATGAAGTATAACTAAATGTCGAATAGTTTGATGACTTAAAAACGTGCACACTTGTGGTGCTGCTCGCTGTATAATAATTTGTCTCAGGGCGGGGTGCGATCGGATGAAGTATAACTAAATGTCGAATAATCCAGAATGAAAGAGACAAATAACATAAAGACGACTGCACGATCCGGGGCGGGCACGCGTACACACACTCTGTATTCAGCACCGTTAATGCATAATGTGCGATGTACGCATAAAACGGAAGCCACCTCGGTGACGCGTGTTTCTTGCAATAATAGCATTCAGGAGTAATAGTTTTGGGCTCGCCTCTAGTTTGCTCTTCCTTGAATATATCTGCACAAATAAGTTTCTTAAATAAATAAATAAAAACCTTCACAGGGTCTCTCCATATTTAAAGTAAAGTGCCAATCTGATGAGATTATGGGCCGAGGCATACCTTCATGCAAACATGTTTCCCCCCTCCCGCAATAGCCCACCTAAGCCTTCCCTGTGGATGAGGGATGAGTGACTGAGGCAGAAGGCTCGTCTCTGCAGCACTCAGGGTTGACTGGTGCCCATTTGTGTACATTTTCACATAACACGGACGCGCACTGAACGCCTTCCACTTTTTCTATTATTTTTTGAAAAGCGCTGGAAAGACGCGCACTGTTCTCTCTCTTTCACACCCACAGCGTTTCTCTCTGTACATAGGCAGTTCGCGTGCTGCCCCTTTACGTTCCTCAGTTTATCTCTCGTTGTATCACACCATCCTCTTCCGCTCAGAGTGGTATAAATATACCAGAACTTGTTGTATCACACCATCCTCCTTATGCTGCGTCGATATGTCCCCAATTGCATTCATGCTCTCCACTCATCCATGGCTAGGTAATAAACTGGGCAGACAAGCGTTCCAAAGGAACGTGTGCGGCGCCGTCTCTCTCTTTTCCCCTCGCAGGTTCCCATTCCTCGCCTTGGCAGGGTGGGCTGGGGCGGAGGTGCCCACGGAGCGCGTAGGCGCGTGTTTGTGTGTGAGTGTGTGTATGTGTTGGGGCAGTGGGAGGCGGCACGAGTCGCCTCAGCGTCTGTATCGCTCTTGCTCTCTCTCTCTTTCTGTGTATGGTACTTCCTGTGGTATATTTATGACCAGGGTTTCGATTTCCGGTAGTTCATGCGAGTCGAGTCGTCTCCCCGGTGTCTTCCTCTTTCTCACTGAACATTTAATAATCTCACCGAGCCAAGGAGGAGAATCGCTTTCAGCAAACACGCGC